TACATGTGTATGTGTATGTGTATATATATATATACGTACATACATACATACATACATACATACATACATACATACATACATACATATTGTGATTGTACGTATGCACACAGAATAGTGTCTATACATTAATAATCATTAATACCTTCCCGCAAGTCGCGTCTTGTGCGCCTTGCTCCTGAAAGCTGTGTAGGCCGCCGCCGGCTCGATCATGTTGCTCCTTTGTGAGCAAAGCCGAGGTTAGAGGCTTTCGGGTTTAGGATTTAATTGGGGCTGTAGAGGGCTTGAGGGCTTTAGGCTCCGGGGGCTACGGTTTCATGTTTCAGGATTGTAAGGTTAAATGGCACAGTCATTTGCAAGATCGCATGAAGTCAGAGCTCCAGCACCAGCACGCGGCGCCCCAAGCGCCCCAGCATAACAGCCAACGCAAGTCCGGCCGGACCTCCAGGAACCCGTCTAGCCGACTACAAGGAGAATAACGGTCAGAGCAAGAACCATGGTAAGCATATGTTTCTCCGCCTTCTCGCACGACTTGCTTCGATCGGGTTCCTAACTCGGAGGTTTGGCGAAAACTTCAGTTGCAAAGCTTTTTGGCGAACACTTTCGCGCACGACTTGCCGCTGTGGCCTTGGTCTTGAATTTGCTTCGGATCCATTGGTGAAAACCTGGTAAATAGACGCTTATACACCGAATAGAAGAACTGCCAATATCTCACGCAACGCCTGCAAGTTTCAGCCTTAACTACATCGCATGCCACAGCAATTGGCCCCCAGGCCGCACATGCAGGCCCTCTCTCACTCCCACTCGAGATGATTATTATGCAAGGCCATGCAAACTTCAAATCCGCAGAATCTCCCTGCAGATGCCGACCCCGAAGCTGGAAGGTCGTCAGATGCCTGCACCAATCACCACAGCATCCGCCTCTTCGGGCAGGTCCTTGAATGCGCCGCTTCGTCTGTGATATGGTCAGACAGTACTTGGTTTAGGGTTTAGGGTTTAGGGTTTGTGTCTGACAAGTGCCGCAGCATCCACAGTCTTGACATCTGTCTAGCATGTTGACATGTGGGCACAAGCAGTGGCCAGCGGTTTGCACTGATTCTGTCCTGCTTTCGCAATCCCCGTCGAAGGACGTCCTCTGCGCAAAACAACGCGAATAGAAAGTCATCATTTTGTGCACAGCTGCACTAGGTTCACACCACAAATCAACAAAGACAGGCACCTGGAAATTGAAATGCTGTCTTTCACGGGGCAAAGCACCAAGAATCCGCTAATGTGATCGTGTTAGGTTCGACAAAACTGCATGTAAAGAAACCGGCGGCATGTCCGGTTCTTCAACCGGCCAGGTGCGATCAACAACAACATGTCTTGTCTCCAAAATTCTCCAAATCGACACACACACACACGCACACACACACACACACACCCGCAACTCCCGTAACCTATGCATGCCAGCGCCCTACCATGATTGGCTGCCTCCGGCTGGCGAGCTGGGGGGAATGGCCTCGGCGAGCGAACGTCTGGGCTTGTCTGACAGGTTCTCCTGTCCAAACGGATTCTCGTGCGTCGGCTTCGTAGAGACGTTCCTGTCAACACGAGCGAGCCGACGAAGTGCCACTAGCATCATGCCAATGGCACTTTGCACACATCCGGGGATGGTCGTAAGCTCGGGTAAAAGCTTTGTAAGACTGCATGCATATTACGTCAGAACAAGAAGATCCTGCAACAGCTTTTACAGCTTGCGGAGACAAACCCCGAAGTGAAAGTCACCTGGTCTAGAAGAACGACAAGCATCTCTTTCCTCACCAAAGCGCTTCACAGTCTGACGGCTTGAGACTAGTAAAACAGACCGATCCTTCAGTTCCTAACACTGTCCGTCATTCTGCACAGATGGCCAAATGGAGTCGGCATCAAAATCACAGCAAGTCACAGTGGCATCTCATCAAAAGGCATTTAGATATGGTCCCTCAGCCTCATATGACAGCACATACGACGGCCAAGGTCAACAGGACAAACTCCACGAACATGTGCGATTTCAGCCTCAATTACGAAAGGCATACCTGTCAACTGCAACTGCTGGAGTCAGAAACTGAAACTCCTTCCCTACTGTAGAGTTTAGTAAGGGGTTTTAAACCCGCCAAACCGCGTGGGCATAGAGGCTCAAGTACAATCTGTACCTTGCGATGCAAACAGCCGGATTGAAGGATCAGGGGACTCCCGAAAGTCGTCGTAGACAGACAACATGCTTTTTTAGCCTCTAGCTAAACCCCGACAGCCTGGACCCTTGACCTGAACCCGAACCAACAAGCACCCGCTTACGGGCCCCCTTTATCCTTCAAGCACCGCAGCACCGCCAAGGAGCTTCGACCGTCGCCGCCCGCGACGCAGGTACCAATTTAAAGCAACCAGAGCGGTGGACACCTGGATACATTAATTTCATGTGCACGGTTTTAACGTGCAGGCACTGGAGTCTTATTGTATCCCCCTGTATTTCTGAGCCAGGAAAGGCAAAGAGCCTGCAACATATCTACAGAAACAGAACTATAGAGTTGAATCTGCAAAAGCCTAAGCAGGCAAAGCTGCTCAGGATGTAGTCAAAGTGTCTCAAAGGGCCTCCGGGTCTTGCAAACCTCCGGTAAAAGATGTATTCTGACCGACCTTGCTCAGCATAAGATGCCGTGCTATACTGTAACGTACTAGAGTTATACTATAATGCTCAATTGCGGATCCGTCACAGGACATGCTGCAACAGGCCCTTGCCACATTCTGTTTACTTCCGCTGCGCGGCGGGAATGGGCTCAACTTCGAAAACCGAAGGCCGGCAAATATCACAAAAAACCCTGCAACCCACGCTAAGCCTCAAAACCCTCAAGCCAGACCTGCAGACCCAATTGCCCAGTATGCTACATCTCCAAATGTCGAAACCTTTGACTCCTCGGTGCTGCTGCCTCGGATCCAGAAACTAAGGCCGCCACTGCCGCCGCGCTCAACGCCAGCGCTGTCGTGGAGCGCTTCAGCAGGGTGCCCATGGTCGCAATAGGTCTCTTTGTTATTGGAGATCTCACGACTGTTCATGACAGGCAATAGTGTTTAGGATTCAGTTGGCTTGAGGCCTAAACTGCCGAAAGATGTTACTGTGGCACGTTACGATGTCCAAGACGCGGGGTGATGCTGCATCGTAGCCTACGCGAGTATTTGGGCGCAACTGGAGTGCTGCTGCTTTCTCCGGGCGATGACTATGTCCATCGGACAGGATTCAGCGTCACGGCCCTTGCACGTCTTGAGGCGAGCTCTTCTGACCGAAAGCTGCGACAGCAGGCCTGAACACTCGGCTGTCAACTGCAGTAAGGCTTCTGGTGCTTCAGACCCTCGACATGACAATTCAGATTAGTCCCAAGAGGCCCTGCTAGGGGATCGACGCCAGCTTTTTGTTGCTTCTCTGTCCTCATGGCTCCTACATGGCTTACGTGGCATCCTTGTGCCGCTCGCCTTCTCTGAATGGGATCTACGAACCAGTTTCCCATTTTGGCGGAAGTCAACAGGGCTCATACCTCCCACTGTCCTTGTTGGACATGCCTACCAGACCCCTGCTCTCGGTGTTGTCTGGAACCCAAGAAACACGGCAGCTTTTGCTGGGAGAATTACGGTTGAGGGTTTAGGGCTGAAATCGAAGTCAAAAGGTTCTTGGGCTCCAGAGCTCCGCCTATTTGTACATCCGGAGCTGAGCCTCTCAAGCCGTGTGAACAGCCAACCATATACTTCCGATGCTTCTGTCTCTCTTTAGGTTTTTTTGAAAATAGATTTCGATCTTGGGTCTCTGGAATCTTTGGAGTTCCTATCATGATCTAAACCCTAAACCCTAAACACCTTAACCCTAAACCCTAAACTTCTTGGCATGACGATTGTCGAGCTCGCACCGCCAAGTTGGCTCCTTTCCCCAGAGTCTCCTGTCCCAGCATCCCGGAAAGGAGTCAACTGCACACCCACACACTCTTGGAGCGTGAAGTGAAGTCCATGAAATTATGAATTCAGACGAAAGACAGCCTCCGGCCGCAACTCGCCAGACGAGGGAATCATCACACAAGGGCCCTAGGAAGTTGACGGAATAAAGTTTCCCTAAGGGCCC